ATATATATATATACATATACAGAAAGACGTCCGAAGTACCCGGCAGCTTTCACAGTTCTTCAGACAGTGATTGACCCATCTTTTCTGCAGGGTGTTAGGAGGAAGAGGGGTCCGCAGAAGAGCTTGTCTTTGTATAGGGGCACCTCTCAACACATTATCAGCAATAGGGTTCGCTGTGTGATCACTTCATGGCATATTTTGTATCTGGAAGCATTCCTACAGTGATTTTCAACCTTTCAAAAAAACTCTCACCTAAGAATTATTGAATTATCATAGTTTGGAATTGGATATACTCAAATAAACTTTTATAAGCCCAACAGATAATTCTTAAAAATACTTATGTTTGATAATCACTGTTCTATAACTTAATTGGATTAAACAAATTATCATAAGCACAGGTGGCTTATGGTAGCCTTTACCATATATGACACCTAAAAAGTAAAAGATGGGAGAGACTAGAGAAAAGCAAGAAGGGTGAATGAAGTTCTTGGGCTAAGAGTGGCTATGGTAAGGGGAGTTCAATTGTTTCTTTGGCTTGCTTTCCGTTCATTTATTTCTATGCTTGCTCTAATCAACTCACTCTGTTTTTTCAGTTTAATAATTGTGCAGCCTGGCTGGATTGTTGTTATCCTCTAAATCTGCTTATCATTAAGAATGGGATGTTTATGAGCTGAGAGTCCTCTGTGTCCAGGACAGTTGAAACAAGCAAGATCTAAGATAGCCACCTAAATGACTTCTCCGTGCATGCTGAATCCTTCCCTCATCCCAGGACAACTGACAACTGTCATGACAATGCCAGAAAGAGCCCTAAACAAAGAGAAGCGAGTGAGGCCAAATTCCTAGAAAATCTGCCTATTCTAAGAGAAGGCATGAATATTTCTCCGCTTCATTAGCTAATTTCGCTTCCTCAGTTTCTATACTTTTCCTTGTACCTGTGATTTTCCTACTTATGACCAGTTGAGAAGGTTTTTGGTGAGCTAGACTTCTGTTTCTTCATGCTTTGACCATTGAATGAACTTGGGCGTTTAACACTGCTGAACCTTTAACTCTGTTTTTTACACACTAAATAGAACAAGGTGAAAGGAGGCTCTCCCCTTTTCACCATGCCCGTCATTCCTTAACTTGTCATTTTTCTAAGAACTTTCAGAACACACAGTAGGTAAAGGAGAAACAAAAAAGTGGCAGATGTTGAAATAGCGCAATGTACATGCACTGTAACATAACTTTACCAAGTTTAGCAGTTAATATACCCTTTATCTTATCTGGAAATTAAGACTGGTGGCACAACCCAGATGGTGTGATCAAAGGAGGCCTAAATGAGAAAATTGATAAAGACCCCTTTACATTGTTATACAGTGTGAGGGTCTAGACTTATCTGGATTGAAGGAAGAGAATAAACTTTTTCTCACTGTCAACTTTTTTTTTTTTTTTTTTTTTTTTTTTTTTTTTTTTTTTTTTTTTTAATTCAGGTCCTTGTGCTTGCAAGGCAGGCCACCGAACGGCTGAGCTAAATCCCCAGCCTCATCACTGTCAATTTCTTAAGGGATAAAAAAACTTTTTGTTTGGAGAAGTTGAAGCCTGGCTGGGCCAGGTGAGCAAACTCGAAGACCTCTCTGAGGCTGAGCTAACTCGCCTAAGTGTGTAGAGGCTGGGATTAACAGGCTGTACCTCCACCCCTAGTCCATGACTCCTTCACCTCGCCCAAGAAGAATCACCCAACCATGTCTAGCCAATAAGATATTGCCCACTGTTCTCCACTAATGTATGGATCTACATAACCTATAAGAAAGTGCCACTCAATCAAATACTCCTCCCATGCTCCTCCCCCATGGTTGTCCACACGTAAGCTATATAATAAGCCTGTGATTTTCCTAAATAAAGTGGAAGCATTCCAGAAACCTCCCAGAGTCTTCATGGTGATTCTGTGCCTTACTTTCCCAGGCTGAGTTCCCAAAATGAACTCCGCAGGCCCAACAGTGGAGGATACCTTTTCAGTAGAGAGTAATTGGAATCTTCTCAATAATATACAGTCTTCCCTTACGTCTCTCCAGTAAATCTATTAGTTGGTGAAAGGGTAATACATAATCAATCTAACAAAGGAAACAAAATACCTCTACACTGAGAACTACAACACTCTGAAAAAGAGATTGAAGAGGTTATAAGAAAATGCAAAAATATCCCTTGCTCCTGGTTAGGAAGAATCAACATAATGAAAGTGGCCATACTACCAAAATGGCTATACAGATTCAGTGCAATCCCAAATGAAATTCCAAGAGTATATTTCACAGAACTAGAGAAAACAATCCAAAAATTCATTTGGAATCAGAAGAGACCTAGAATAGCAAAAGCAGTTCAAGGTAACAGAGACATGGCAGGGTTTATCACAATGCCCAATTTGAAACTATACTACACAGCCACTGTGATAAAAAGAGCATAGTACTGTCAAAGAAACAGACCCAGGGATCAGTGGAACAGATTAGAAGATGCAGAAACAACTCCTGACATACTCAGCTACCTCATCTTTGACAAAGGAGCCAACTATCCTCGGTGGAGGAAAGATAGCCTCTTTAATAAATGGTGCTGGAAAAACTGTACTTCAACTTGTCAAAGATCAAAACTAGACCCATATCTACAAGTGAATTAAAGATCTAAATATTAAAATATAAACACTAAACTTGCTGGAAGATGTTAAGTAGAACTCTTGAAGATGTTGACATAGGAAAAGACTTTATGAAAAGATCCTCAGTAATATGGGAACTAGTTTGTTTTTTATAAAATGGAGTACTACTCAGCCATAAAGAATGAGAAACTAGAGATATTTACAGCTAAGTTGGACACACATTAAAGCTATACTCTTTTTTTTCATTAAGTTTATTGGCACATTTTAGGTATACAATACAATGACATTCATGGTTGGGAATTTGTACCTTTACATAATATATCTTGGTTCTTATTTTTTCCCCATTCCCCTGCCCTCCCTTCAACCCCTTCACCCCTCCCTATTTACATAGACTTTGTTTCAGTTTTTTTCCTTTTTCTCATGTTTTTTTTCCTTTCTCTTCCTTCCTTTCCCCTCCCCTTCCTAGTTCCCCTTCCCCTTTAGACCTTTTCTTCTCTTAAGTGAAATTAGTAAGTCACATATGTGCAAATACTGAATAGTTTCTCTTGTGTGAGATACTAAAAGTATAAATAAGGATCAAAATCTATAACTAATATTGTGGAATAGGAAGATAAAGTCTAAAAGAGTAAAGGAAGTACGGGAAAGGTAAAAAGGAAGGGGAAAGGGGAAAAGGGAAAAGAAAAAATATGAAAAAGAAAAATATGGAAACAATGTCTTTGTAAATTTGGAGGGGTGGAGGGGCTGAAGGGAGGGCTGGGGAATGGGGAAAAGTAAGAACCAAGATAAGTCATGTAAAGGTACAAGATTCCAATGATGAATGCAACTGTATTGTATACGTAAAATGCACCAATAAACTTAATAAAGATTTTTTAAAGGATAATACAATCAGTAGTTTCATAAAGATGCTTCTTCCTTGGAACTGTTTCATTAGGTCATTAGGGTGCTTTTTTTTTTTTTTTTTTTTTTTTTT